TTCCTAGTGAGCCAGAGTGTTGGAGACGTGTGAAGACACTTTTTTAAAAATATTCCATCCAGTCCTTGTATTTGCAGAGGTCGCTGGTGCTAGGTTAGTGCATGTAAATGGCCATAGTTATCCTGTCACTAAAAACAGTCTTACCCACTCCAAAAAACACCGGAAACAAATCTATTATTACACCAGACTGTCGATGTGAATGTCTGTGTTGATAGAATAATTTTAGAAGTAAAACCAACCTTGCATTTGAAGGATTTATGTCTGAGCAGCAGCGGCGAGTTGTACTTCCTGATAGAAAGTTTGGCAGCGGCGGACTGATATATGAGAAAATAGTCCCTCAACATGTGACGATTCATGCGATGCAAGGTTAGTCTTATTATCTTATCTTATTACATTATTCTATCAACACAGACATTCACATCGATAGTCTGGCGTAATAATTGTTTGGCTTCGGGTGTTTTGTGGAGTGGGTAAGACTGTTTTTAGCGGCAGGATAACTATGGCCATTGACATGCACTAGCCTAGCACCAGCGACCTCTGCAAATACAAGGACTGGATGGAATATTTAAAAAAGTGTCTCCACATGTCTCCAACACTCTGGCTCACTAGGAAATGAGGTCCTATGTCCAAAATTCTTGACTGTCCCTTTAACCTAATTATTCACTGTGATGACTTTATAAATGCTTTTGTACAACTTTATTTAGTCATATTTTAGTCCTGGTCCAGCTCCAGGTTTAGTCCTAGTTTCATTCTTACTCTGGTCATTATGGCATTATATGGACTTTTCCACCGTGATTTTAGCCACAGCTTCCCCTCACTGCACACACAAACACACACTCGGAGCAGGCCAGTGTGCCAGCTGGCAGTCATTTGGCAACCCACTGCAGGATTAACTGGTACCAGTATGCTGCCCTATAAATAGAGAGTACCAACTGCTCCAGGAAATGAACCATGATGGAGGCTCCCAAAGGCCCCCGAACAGGTTGTGCTTTTTATCCTTCCTCTCTCTCTCCCTCCCCCACTCTCTTTCTATCTCTCTTTCTCTCTATTTTTCTATCTGTGTCTCACCTCACAGCGAAATGGTCCCAGGTTCACCTCCCGGCTTTACTGTGCGGAGTTTGCATGTTTATAATAGGCCACAGTAGTCTTGACCAAGTCTGACAGGCTGCCTCAGCTGCACTAAACGATGGGTCAAATGGAGAAGACAAATTTACCTACGATGAGAATAAAATGTACCTTAACCAATTTCTACCTCTATCTTACTCTTTCTCTCTTTATGACTGTCTCATCACCAGAAATTAATTATTTAAAAAGTAATTTCAATAAATCTATTATCTGTAATGAGTTTTTATCTGGTTGTTTATGGCACCTAAACTTTACTTTATTCAGAAAAGTTAGATTTTGGTTTCATTTTTGATGGTCTGAGTCCTTCCTCTCTTCACTCCCCCTTCAACATAATCAGTGTGCATTCCTCTAAAACTACTGCACATCACCTCAGATTTGTGAAGTTGTAGTGTACAATTTTGCATCATGGTTTTATGTATAATATAGAATTGTCATGATTTAGGAAAAGCTTAATATACCAGTTAGCCCCATTAGCGGTGCATTACATACATCATGACCAAATAACAGCGATTCGTTAAATAAAAAGTGCCTGCCTACCGTTGAGCAAATGAATCCTAATGCTGCAAGGTCAGACGGTTTCCATGAAGTGAAACTGGCTGATGAATCATGCTGTGGATGAAGCAGATTATGGGCAAAGTATTAGACAGAATCGTACAGCTAACCATCAGAAGACTTTGAACAGTACCTGGAAGATAGGGCTGGTTACCATTAAGAAGTTGCCAATATGATACATATCGATACATAGGCCACGATACGATACATATATTTCGATACAGTGAGCTTTTGAATCGATACAATATATTTCAAATCGATTTGATAACTAGTAAAAGTCTTTGTTAAACCCCTTACTGTGCAAAGTTCATATGAAACACACTGATTTTAATCATCAAAACAGTGAAAATGTCAAATGTGTTGCATAAACAAATTTCCTTCCTCTAAACAAGCAACAAAACTGTAGCGCTGTAACAAAATAATTTGGTACCAAAAAATACTCTTCACGATATATCGATACAGCAGCCCACAATATCAATGCACATTAAATGATACAATATATCGATATTTAGATATTTTTGCTACTGGGAGAGATCGCAAGAATCAAAGATGCATGGATGACCACTAAAATCTCCTTTAATAAGCATGTTTTTGATGATGGACCAACAATATAACACAGTACAAAGCTAAAAAAAAAATCTATTTTGCATAATAGACCCTTGATATTGTAACATTCTTATTGCATTGCTAATATTGCAGTCATGGTTGCTCCTTTTTTCTGTACATTAGATATTTGTCCTTCCAGTACAAGCACTGAAGTATTGTCTTGCTGCAGCACTTTCCCCAAACATCGATCGGCGGGAGTGAAACTAGCGCTTTGCTTTGTATGTTTGCCTGCACTTCCGCTTGTGGTGGACTCCAGGGATTGATCCAGGCGACGCAGTCATTATGTGAGCTCAGTGCTGTTGGTTTAGGTGGGAGCTAGTGGAGGAAAAATAGACGAGGGAGAGGAGAAGAATGGAGCAAGAGGAGATCTAAGTAGCGTTAGATAAGAGCCTGTGCTTGTAATGAGGGTCTGTATTGTGCAGATAGATATTGTGACAGGTTTTTATGTTGTTCTAATTATTACTTGGTTTGGTGGGATGGTACTTGTGGTAAAAATGTATAATTCTTACATAAGTCCAGTTACAGCTTGTGGATAAAACAGTTGAGAAGAGAAGTATGAAGCTTTAAAACAGAATTAATACTTCGCTGGGGGTGTTCTACATGTATGTGTATTAGTGAAATGTTCTCAGTTACCATGGAGACACAATGCGCACTTTAGCAAACACTGCCAGAAAGGTTTTGAGACTGTTTGAAAGCTTACAAAACAACAACAACATGAACATGAACAGTACATTTTCAGGAACCGGTGATCAATAAGAGCGTTCATGGTCCGTTCAGATGTTTCATTTTCAGCTCTTTCTGGTCAAATTACTCTAAAATAAAAATCAGATTAAAGTCTAAAAAAGCAGACAGACCTGTGCTTACAGTTAGCACCACATACCCAGGGGATATTGATAACATCATGTGCAAAGTATTAATATCCCAAAGAATTAATAACTCTTTGTATGTCACGGAAAATCCATCCAAAAAGCACAATCAATTCATGTGCCAAGAAGAGACATTTTCAGACTGAATAAACATTAAAGGTTTTGTCATTTATTTGCATTTCTCTAATCATAACTTTTGTTTGGCCCTAACAGTTTAGAAATTGACCTCTGTCCATATCCATACAGGAAGTAAATAGACCTTTAATAACCTAAATAACTTAAACATAATGATTTGAATATGTTTTAGTGAAGTGACTATTATGCACTTTAAAATGGAGAGCTGTAAAATTAGCTAACCACCACACTCTTTCTAACATTATAGTTCATCTTTTTCTACTTTGCAGTGATTTGCTTTGTAAGTCTGAATAGGTTTTCCCCCGTGACCCCGCGTAGCTCAGTAATGGTCTTGTTATCACTAGAAAAAGCCCTTTGCTGTACAGTATTAGACCTTTAGTCTTAAAATCTTGTGTTTTGTTTAACATATTCTTATATAAGCTAATAAAAAGTCATTTCAGTATGAATTTTCTGAAAGGGCCTATATTATATTATATTATTTCCTGTTCTTTGTTATAATGTTGTTTTCTCATTCACACATTTTTAACAGAAACCCTGCATATTTAGCCTGAGTTCTTCCCTCAAACAGAAAATACTCTACACTTTCTTACAGACTAAACAGCTGAATGGTTTCTCTCCTGTGTGTGTCCTCATATGTGTTTCAAAAATCACGATTCGGTACGCACCTCGGTTCTGAGGTCACAGTTTGGTTCATTTTCAGTACAATATGGGGACAAAATGCGAAACCAGTTGCTTGCGGTTTATTTGTGTTTTTATTAAAACAACAATTTGGTTTAACATTATACAAACTGGAAAATAAAATAAATGAAAAGTGCTGCTTGGTAATACTAATAAGTTAAATAAAATGTTTGAAATATAAAAAAAAATAAATCACTTGTAAACAGTAAACAAGACTTTTTTCAAAAAGTTCAGTGTAGCTGCACATGTAGTGGCAGAATGTAAACACAACCAAACATCATGTACCGAAACAGTTTGGCACGAATACATGAACTGTCACACCTGTAGTGGTAACACAGGAAGTGCTCCACTGTTAAGATAATGATGTTCATTTTGTCTTTTTATATACTTTAACCTCTTAGGTTCTTTTTAAAGACAATGCAGTAAAGTGTATTTACCTTGTTGACATGCTTCAGCTGCTGCTGCAAGTCATCTTCAGAGCTGTCCAACTAACTATAGAACTGTCCCAGAACAGTTCTGAAGATGGTTTGCAGCTTGCAGCCGAAACATGTCAACAAGATAAATACACTTTACTGCAGTGTCTTTAAAAAGAACCCAAGAAGTTAAAGTGCTCCACTGTGTTTTTAATCTCCATACAGCTTCAATAGAATTACATGGATAATTTCAGGCCTAGAATTGTAAATCTGTTCTTAACAAAAGGTAAAAGGTCGCTATTAACATACTGTGACATCACAAGGTGGAACAGAGCATTTTGAACTTTGGAGATGTAAACAGACTAATAATAAAGAATTACTCAAACATGTGTGAATTATTCTAACATGCTTTAAATCTTACAAGAGTCTATTTTGCGTAATATAGGACCTTTAACATAAACAATGCTGACCTTTAATCAGCACAATTCAACATAAAAATATTCACATTTCTTCCTTCGTAGCCACTTTTGCTTTTACTTTCAGAGAATTGGCTGTAGATTCGATTAGAAATGCCTGAATTCTGATATTGACTAAAACTCAACTAAATAATCTTTTTCTTTTACAGCCTATCTGTTGAAGAAATCCAGTCCAAAGTGACATTCATTCAGGATGAGCAGAGAGTTCTCACAGAGGACGAAGCTGTGGTGAGTGTCTTTTGAACACGCTTCAAATAACCGAGCTATTCATAATTTTGTTGTATTTTTTTCCTCGCTTATTCATGCCGCCATGCTTTTATTCCAATTTTAGCTCTTAAAATGGATGCCAACAGTAAATGTATGCTATTACAGTGCCATTACATTAACATAATTGATAGAATAGACCGACTGTGACTAATGCTGTGAAATAAACGCATTCTTATTTCCATTCAACTATTTATACAACACATTGGTAAACATTGTATTCTGACAGTGAACCTTTTCCCCATGCAGTTTGCCTTTCTCCCCAAACACTAAACTACTCTCAGATGTTACTGCGATATTGTTTTTATGTGCGCCGCATTTTCACCAACTGTTCAACAAGGTCCTTGCTACATTCATTTAAATTCTGCACAGGAAGAACACTTTTCCTCCCCTCCAGCTACAATGTGTGAAAGTGCCGCTGTCTTTTCGGCTCTAAACTCCACGCGTACCAAGCTAGCACATATCAAAATCTGCGGCGGTAAACAAAATGGCTAAAGCGCCGTTTTCTCCCGGTTTTTGTCATGCTGTAAACGGTCATTCGCATGCACACGCACTCTCCGAAACTGACTGCCGCTGTGTTCTCCCACTGCGGGGCAAGGAAAGTTCAGCTTCTGCTTGTCACACTGTCACTGTTAGAATAAAATCAGCTGGACTATATGTGGATATCTTATAGCACACTCCAGTTGGCTATTATCACTCGCGTACACCTACAGAGTCTTAACTAAAAGATACGTGTCTGAGGTGAAGAGGTCCTGTGTCCAAGCAAGAGTTTTACGCCAGATGCCCTTCCTAAATGTCAACAGGCTTCCAATTGCCACAAAATAATACAGAGAAATAAGTTCTTGAGGTTAAGGTGAAATAAAAATATAGATACATAATATATAAAGTTCTTGAATACACAAAATTGACTCTTGTGAATTTTAAGCCACGGTAGAATGGAGTTACCTCGTCAAAAACTTATCTGAGTTGTGTTTTGTTTCATTCACACGTGTCTGAATAATCCTTTGTTTTTAGTCTGTCTACATCTCCAAAACTCAAAATGCTCCGAACCACTTTGTGATGTCATGTAATAGTAGTTAAATTAACAGAAATCTTTACTTTTTGTTTAGTTAAGACTGGCAATTCGCAACTCAAAGCAAAACACAACTCCAGGTATGTTTGTGATGAGGACATGAAATTATAACATAGATCATAAAATAGTGCAATATGGGCCCTTTAATAGTTTGTGAGTATCAATAGATGAATTTTTTTGTACGACATACCCAAGTGGCTATAGCACTTATACTTCACAGGAAGAGCGTCTGACATTTGGAATCTCATTGTTAGGGGACCCTATAGTACACGAGTGGATGTTTATTTTTTCTATGGGGCCACATGAGAAACAGAAAATATTGTGGAGGGCCGGGCCAAAATGCTTAACTCAATTCTGCATAATAATAATTGTATTGTTTCTTTATTTAAAACCGTAAATATCATTGTTTTGATGAGCTGGTGAGACTGGTAAAAGTTTATGTTATGACTAAGCAATGAAAAAGTGAGGCTACTTTACAAAAAAATCATTAAACACCTCTTAAATAAAAGCAGCTTTAGTCCATGCATGAGGTAAAATTATAAAATATGTTTATTTTGTAATTACAAATGAGCTTATACGGACCAGTTAGAGTGAACCAAAGGGCCGTATGTGGCCCGGGAGCTGTACAATGCCCAGGTCTGCTGTAAAATATGCCAGACAGGAGTCAAACCCAGGACCTTCTTGCTGTGTGGTGGGAATGCTAACTGCTCAAGAACGGACTGGCTTCAAGACCGTGTTTTTTAATGCGGTTTTGGTCTCATCTCGGACTCGACTGCGCTTGGACTCGGGCTTATCTCGCTCTTGAAGGCGCTTGGACTCGATCTTTTCTCAGTCTCAAGGTCTGACACTCGACAAGTGATAAAATGGAGATAGATTTATAAAAATATTGACATATATGTGCTAAAATAACTCTAAACTACAAATAAATGAAAATTACGCAGATGGTCTTGATTTAGTCTCGATGGGCCGTGGTCTCGGTCTTCTCTCAATTTCTTCCTTTAAAAGTCTCGGTCTTGTCTCAGTCTCGACCCTCAGAGGTCTTGGTTTTGTCCTGGTCTCGCGACCCTGTGGTCTCGGACTAGTCTTGGTCTCGTTTGGTGCGGTCTTGACTACAACACTAGTAGAGAGTTTACATGTTTCTCTCCATGTCTGGGTGGATTTCCCCCATCAACTCAACATGCACAATAGGTAAAATCCTCCAGCTAAGGTAGTCCTGACCAATCCTAGCTCCAGATCTGGGTCCCTGAGTGAGTCACTGCTCTTGGGCCTACTAAAGGAGAACTTATCTTTGAAAAAAAAAAGATTCAAGTCATTCCAGTTTTGTAGCACATACTTGGAAAATAGATTCCATTAAATATCTTAAAAAGTCTGCAGTTGCTCCCCACCTGTTTTTCCTTGAGACAAACTCCACAGTAAATCAGCCAGGCGCAGTAATAGTGCAGATGTGTGTTAGCTAACAAGGAGGCGCCGCTAATGAATTCCGCTGCATATGAGGAGGATGAATGGATATGAATATGCATGAATGTGTACTTTAACAGCAACCACAACAAACCGTGATCAAGCTGGGGAAATTAAGCGTGCCGCCATTGACAGCAGTTAACAGGCAATTTACATTAGAAGTGACAAGCGGGCCCCGTGTTAGCGCCTCAATCAGGGTCCAAGGGCAGATGCAGTCGTAATAAAGCAGTAGTTCACTTGCTGTGCTATAGGAGGGACTAATATGTAGGATTTAGTTCAGCCTGGCCACTCATTATTACTGCCTTTTTCCCAGTTGATAAGTGCCATTAGCATTTCTCTCGCTGTAACCTCTCAAATGTGTGTGGGTCCACGCAGATTGCCAAGAAAGTACTGAGTCGTAGGCAGCTAGTTAGCGTTCCCATAAACTTGATAGGGTTTGTTGTGCAATAGCTGTTTGCAACACTTTGAATTAGTATTAGTCGGCAAGCAGGCAGGAAAAACAGCACCGGTGCTAATGAAAGTAATAGACTTTACACCTTAGCTTTAAAAACTTGAGATGAAAAAAAAAAAATCCTGAGTTAATTACTCAAGTTAAGATATCTAAAATTGGAAGAAGTTATCCATGTTTTTCAGAATGATGAGAAATTAGGACCATTGCCCCAGCGGATAAGCAGCACCGTATGTTTGGAATGTGAAAAAGCCCTCAAAATGTTGTATATAAATATGAGTCAGACAAAATGTTAAATTAAATTAGTTCAATTAACCTTCTCATATACCAAACTACAAAAGTATTCACAGAGTGTTTTATTTTGTGTTTTTGAACATCTTTAAAGTGCGAAGGGGTTATAAGTCACTCTTATTTAATTTCAAAAGTATAATTGGTCACAAAGTAGAAAGAACAAAATAAAAGCTTACAAATTGGACTTGGTTTTCAAACGTGTATTATCATGGATGGGTAAATAGGTTTTAAGATGGTGCTTTCAGAGTTCATATGCATGTTTAATTATATCCTAGTTTTAAAATATAAATTGCAAATCTAACTGCAGTATTAAAGGACCTATATTACATTATTTTCTGATCTGTGTTGTGTTGTTTTGTCATCAGAAACAAGCCTAAAGTTGTGTTTAGTTTCATTCAACACTCAAACCCATGGACATTTAGGCAGATGTCTTCTCTCAAATGCTCCACTGTGTTTTTAAACTCATTACACCTTCACTATATTTGGATAATTTCAGCCCTGTATTTGCCAGTCTACTACACAACAACTACAAAACTACTGCTTCAGGTGGCACAGAGGATTTTGAACTTAGGAGATGGAGACACAAAACATGTGTGAAAGAAACAAAACACAACTCCAGGTATGTTTTTGATGAGGTAACAGTGTTCTATCATGGCATAAAGCTCACAAGAGACAATTTTGTGTAATATAGGACCTTTACTCAACAATACAATCACACATCGATTCGCACAAGCTTAGCATGTCGCAAGTAGAATATCAAGTATATCTTCTTTAATGAAGTCTATTAAAAATTACCTCAGAAAAAAGACAGAACAAAAGCAATATTTCTGCTCTTTTGTTGTTAATTTTATGCTTTATTCATGTTTTGTGCTTGAATTGAACCTCTACCAACACATTTACAGGCACATTTTAGCACATTCCTGATGCATTGTTAAAATGTTGTCTGAATATTTTTATCGAGATAATGCAAAAATACTGAAATCATTTTTGTCAAATAACAGTGAATGGTGGTTTTCACACACACACACACACACACACACACACACACACACACACACTACTATATTGTTAGCATGTAGTCATATTAAACACACTTACTGTCAGGTGCTGATGTCTGATGCCTGGTTTTGTCTGAGAATCTAATAAAAAAAGCATAATTTCTTCTTGGGGGAATATTAGTGTGCAGCTATGCCGGTTAGCTCCAATATCATTCGGCCCAGGGGACAGTGTTCTTCATGCTTTTCTGTTTTATGGGGGAGTGGGGGTGAAGAAGAAAAAAATTACATCCTCATCAGATCTGTGTTGTAACTTCTATAGACCTTGATTACTTCTGCACTGTCACCAAGCGAGATAGGATCATATATTACTTTATTGCTGCCTGATTCAATTTGTGTCATTTTCACTCCTTTTTATTAGTTGCCCGTCGCTTTTTTTCCCTCCTCTTCTTTTTTCTTTTAAGAAGCTTTGGCGTCCACCGAAAATTCAGTTTCCACTCCAGCGGCCCAGATAATTCGTGAACAGGAGGATTTTCAGGAGAACAATTTGATGATCAAAGAAAGCACTCTACTTCAGGGAAAAGGGATATTCTGAAGTGGCGCTGCCTCTCTGTGCTATTATTATGTTATAGCCCTCCGTTGCTGCACAAAGTACTGTTAATGTCGTCTCAAGTTCAGACTCATTTTAGCGGTAATCATA